TTGTCCTCCTTTTCTCAGCTCTGATATATTCAACATGTTGTGGGCATCCCCTACAACCCTCGAGGCCTTGCAATAGCGGAGCATGCCCATCTCTCCCTACACACACAATTATAAAAACAAAAACGAGGGGTACGGCTACTTCCATAGGCTCAATTAGATCTTGTTACTTTCACTTTCAATTTTTAAAATCCATTTGTGGAAAGTAAATACACTTGATCTGAACTCCAGTGGCACCTAGAGCACGAGTTTCATGGAAAGATGCCCAAACAGGAAAACGGGATGGCCCAGTGTGGTTAATAACGCGGGGATGAAGGTACGCTTGTGTACTGACAGATAATGAGACAGTACAGGTGCCATCCCAGAACACGCGACCATGGAGAGATGAAATTCCCAGATTCGGGGTGGAAATCTGCCCACCCATGCAAATCTTCGAGCAGGTGACCCTAGAGGAGACACCTCAGCCTCTGAGGACCACACAGAAAGTAGAGCCTATGACATGGAGACAAGTAAGAAAACAAGCCAGGAGGCTGAAAGGCTGTTGGTGGGCCCCATATAGTCTCTGGGTTTGTGGATTCCAAATTACTCCAAATTATACATCACATTTTCTGTATTCACCCTTATGCACTGAGCATCACTCCTTAAAATCTAATTATTGTTTGCCGCAGTTTTGGATGGCCCATCATGATGAGCAATTGATATTTTTGGGAATGGGATCAGTTAACATCTCGGGAATATATTAACTCCTCTGCACCCATGTCCTTCCTTGTACAACATACACATCTTGGAGCAACTCAGATGACCATGCTCCACTACCATGGACCTCTCGTAGAGGAGAAAGGGGACGAAAAATGTACCTAAACCAATTGGAGTTTATAGATTGGGGCCCTCTAGGGAGATTAGAGGGCAGAGATAATAACCGTTGCACATGGCATGAGTACTCCAAACACCTTGGCTATGTACACCCTGCCTGAGGGTCAACTAGCCTGGTATGAAACCGGTTTTAGGCCCCCATTGCCCTAGCCCTTCTTTTTTTTGTACCAGGGATTGAACTGGGGTCCTTATGCTTGCGAGGCAAGCGGTGGAACCACTGAGCTAAATACCCGGCCCCCTAGCCCATTATTAATGGCAGGTCTAGGCCCCTATAAAAGACCTTCTGGAAATGGCTCTTCCTTATTATATACACCCCTTATTATGTTGGCCAGCAATGGAAGGATGTATAATTATAGTCACTACAAATACTTGTAGCATTCACATCAGAAAACCCATAACCACTCGGTTCTCTATATGCACATATAAGCCTTATGTTTTCTTATACTGAACTATTGAGTGGACTCTCACCTCTTTCAACTCCAGGAATGTTGGCTAAGTCATTGTTACTAGAGTGCTAGGAAACAAAACCTTACTGGTCCTAGGGCAAATGCCTAGTCTGGGTTCTGGTAAATCTTATGGAACCATGGACTGACAGCCCCTGCTGTTCATTTGCTACAATCTCTGATTAACCGCCATTCTTTTACAGAGGACAAAAAGGTTGTTAGGATTGCTTATTGCTAGAACTGTCTCTTTGGCATTGCTAATTTCTAGTGTTGCTGCCTCCTCTGCAGCTTTTGCTCATTCTATCCAGACTCCTCATTTTGCAGATAGACCAAAACTACAGACAGAGCCTGGAATATACAGCACTCTACTGATGCAAAATTACAATCACAAATTAGTGTCTTGGAGACCACTGTTATGTTGATTGGAGAGCAAATAAAAAGTCTGCAATTATAACAGAGCTTCCAGTGTCATTTTAATATTACTCGATATCATATAACTCCCCTCATATATATATAACCAATCTACCCACCTTGGGAACACATAAATACATATTTTTTAAAAAAGAAACATATAGCGCTGGGGATTTAGCTCAGTGGTTTTGCTGCCTGCTGCGCAAGTGCAAGGACCCGAGTTCAATCCCCGGTACCAAAAAAAAAAAAAAAAGAAACATATAAACAGAGTGCTGTAAATAATAATGTAACTACTGATCTAGAGACACTGCAAAAAGAGAAAAAAGAAAAAGAAAAAAATCTGTTTTAACACTCAAAATTTTGATGAGCAAATTCAGGATTGGGATAAATTTGCTGACGCCTTTGACCAACTTAGTCCATACAATTACCTCCAGGCCCATTTTAGATTTTATAACAGATTATACTAATTGATGTATGTCTTGTGCTGATATATGTCTTGTCTGCCACAGGGCAAACAAAACCTAACAATACCTAGACACCATTCAACCTTAAATCACACTGTCTCACAATTACCAAAAGAGAGGAATTGTTGGGGACCAGCCATGATATGCTTAGATTGGTGAGGAGCCAGATTCCAGGGGCCAAAGGCCCAAGGTGGATGTTAACTTGCCTTGGGAACGGAGAAGTATGACTTCCTGGCTTTGTGGGACAGCCATAAACACAGAACTCCTGAGACAAGATAATGCCTACTGAGGGCAATAAATTGTATGGGCATCCCAGTGGGAAAGGACTTTCAACTCTTCCCTTTGAGATGCTGAACTTGGTCCCTATGTGACTACTTACTACATTTGCTGTTCTTGGGATAGTATATTACCCCTTCCCCTACACTTCTTGGTCAATTATAGAAGTAGGCCTATCTTGGAGTTCAAGGAAGCCTATCCACTAGAGATAGATACCTCCTGGTCCTCCATTTCGAACTGAATACTGTGTCTGTGTCTCTTTATTTCTTGCCATTCTCCCAACAGGGATTTGGGAAGTTAAAGGAAGAAAGGTTTATTTGGCTCAGTTTGTAGAGGTTTCAGTTCATAGTTGGCTGGCTCCAAGGCAGGTTGGCACAGCAGAGAGGCACTGGGGAGGAGAGAGTTCATGGAAGACAGAAGACAGCAAAAGGAAGCAAGTGACCCATAACAAACCATTTTCTGTCCTTATATCTTATTCGGGCTACACACCCTTAGGGCAGGTAGTACTCACACCCTTAATCCTAGCGCCCTCAATGCTTGTAATGCACCATCCATCAATCCCAGTGTCACACTCTAGATCCAGCCATCTCTGAAAAGCCTCAGCTATGGCTGCTTGAGGCTTTGAGGGGAACATCAAGACAGAAGCCATAACAGCAGTGAACCAATTTCTCACAAGAATTTACTGGGTCCATCTTCATAACCAACAAACCATAGTTGTTGGTTGTCTAACATAGCCACAGATTTTTCCCATGCACTTGCCCACTCCTTTTGACTGACTTCATCATTTGCTTACTTTAAGGTTCTTCAACATAATGCTTCCGTTACTATCCCTGGAATTTGTCAGAAACTGTTCTATTTCCTGTATAGTAACACTTTAAATGTCTGTGCTTTACTGATATGAGACTTTCACTAATAATCTGTTGTTCAATTCCTACTAAATGACCATTTTCTACAACTAAATAAAAAGAGAATAACTTATTAAAACTCCATAAATCACAACTCTTTGATGGCAGCTTTTATTTTGGAACGTCAACTCCACCTCCAAATTATACTTTGACCTCTAAGAACAGTAACTGAGTAGCTATAAAAATTCAGAAGAAAGACCCACCTACTCGGGACCCCTTCTCTTAGAAGCTATTTTTTCTTTCAAAAAATACTTTCTACTCTCAACCTCTATTCTTCCTAGAATTCATCCTTCGATTTTAGAGAACATGAACTCAGCGTATCAGACATCTAGCACTGATGATGGACTAGAAAGGCAAAATGGTGCCTTCATCATAAATAACTTTTTTTTGGTACCAGGGATCGAACTTGGGTCCTTGCGCTTGTAAGGCAGGTGGCGGAACCACTGAGCTAAGTCCCGGCCCCATCATAAATAACTTAAGGAACCTGAATCTGTAATGTGTTCTTGGAATTTAAAAAAAAAAATTCAAAGCCTTCATGACATTGGACTTGGTGATTTCTTGGATATAACACAGAAAGCATAGGCAACAAAAGCAAAAACAGACAAACGGAACTACAACTTTTTATTCATCAAAGGACACAATCAGCGGAGTGAAAAGACAAGCTATGGAACGGGAAATAACATGCAAAAGCCACTTGTCTGCTAAGGGTTAATATTCAGAATAAAGGACTATATACCTGGGGCTGGGTGTGCTGGTGCAATCCCAGCATTTTGGAGGCCGAGGCAGGAGGGTCCCTAAAAGTTCAAGGCCAGCCTGGGTTACATGGTGAGGTGGCCAATCTGGAATATATAGTGAGACTCTGTGTCACAAGAGAACAGAACAAGTTTTTTCTGCATCTCTGACAAGTTTCAGAAATTTCTGACCAAATCAATGCTAACACTGCAGATTAATACTCCTAATATGAGTATTTAATAATCTCTTTAAAACACTAGGTATTCTTAAGGAAGACTGAAGAGAAATACACAGTATGTATGTTCAAAAAAGAACTCAAAACCATAGCCTGTTATTTCTTTTGCTGTCTTGTTAATACTTTAAACATTTTCCATTTGGAAGGTATATAGAGATTTAAATGTTTGGACATATATAAATATTTCAGAACTGTTGCTACGGCTTAGCAAAATTTATAATTCAATATTCATCAACACTCAAGTGAGCAAGAAAATCAAAACTGTTATTTTCTGCTTTTCCGGGGTGGTTCTTCATTGTTGCCACAATACTAGTCTAACTTAATTCCTTGGTATATCCATTTAACAGTTACTCTGTTCTGAAAGTAAATATTATATAAAATATTACTTGTGATAATGCTTAACTTCTAGTTACCATTTTAATAGGCCAGTATGTTTCAACAGGAAGCACTTACATGTCTGTCTACTCAGAGCCACACTCCATCACCAGAGGTCCAGGAAAAGAAAACATGCTCAATACTAGATTTTACTTAAGTAAGACTAAGCTTCACTTAAGTAAAACTATAATTTTAAAATATCTTAGTAGTAGTTAGTTGGGTGAAGAAAGTGGGAAATTCTTAAAAGGTAAAACAGGATTTAATGTATAAATACAATGAAAAAATGTGATACACACTTAATAAAAAAACTTTATTGAATTACAAATTTTAAAATGAATCACTTAATTTAAAAGTGGGACTATTTTAACTTTATTATTCTTAAACCCATTCTCTCAGAAAATGCACTTTATTTCTGAAATGATAAAGCAAATGGTTCAACTACAAACTAACAAAGAGAGGTGGATTGGTACCCATGGGCCAATCCTTATTATGGACATTTAAATGTTACTTTCTGGATTACAACAAAATGATTTTCAGTTAAGAAACAGGAAGAGGGGAACAAAGGAGAGTGCAAAGCATGTACAGAGGTCTTTCTGCAGGTCCAGCATGATAAATTGTAGACTCTGTACTAGTGGCCTTTAAGATGTGCTACAGCAACTATACCCAGGAACCTACGTGAAAACCATTTTTTCTTAATCCTAACAGAACAAATGGTATATAAACAAAAAGTAAAACTTAACTGTAAGATCTGTCTAAGACTACTTGCTATAGCCCACATTTCCAGTTGGTTCACAATCTTATCAAATAACAGAAAAAACCAACAAGTAAGACTCAGGACAAAAATATCTTCTACCAATCTCCATATGAAAAGACCACACCTTTAATGATTTATACAATTTTGATGCTTAATCCTTGGTCAGTACAGATTTCAAATCAAAATCAAGTCATGAACTGTTTACAATAATGACACTATACCAATATGCTAACAATCTCTTCCTAGGATGTCTTCCTATGAGGGAAAAAAATCATCAGCTTTTGTTCTTTGCCTGTGAAAAAATTTATGAAAGCCTACTACACTATTTTTTTTCCCCAGGGATCAAATTCAGGATCTTGTACTTGCAAGGTAGGCGTAGCACCACTGAGCTAAATCCCCAGCCCTACTACACTATTAATAGTGTTCTGCAAAACTAAAATACACTACAAAGTCAAACAGGTAAATAATAAAACCAAACTGATTTCAACAAAGCCGTATTTCCAAAAGTAGAATCTATTCGAACAAGTAATATACATATACAAGAAATGATGAGCATGGGTTACAGATGCAAAATAATATCCAATTATTGCAGGTTTGTGAACATAATAATAAAATCAAATTCAAATACTATTTCAAATATGTACAATTTAGATAAGCTGGATAAGTATTACTTGAATACATACCATATTTGGTAACCCTAAAATTATATTACCTTTTTTCTTCCTCTAATATTTGTACATACATGCCAATATGAAGAAAAGTAATTTCTATGTATTTATTAACAAAGAACAATTTCTTCTATGTATGCTTCAGACTGTAAAAAGTTAAGAACACTTCAAGAAGAAAAAAATAAAAATAAATTGCCAAAAGTTTAATTGATAAAAGATTAGTATTGACTTATAAAAATGAAAAAAGGAAAGTATTGAAACAGATATCATACAATTATTGTATTGTTTCCCTACTAATCTGAAACTACAGAAGGCATTTGAGGAAGGGATGTTAGATCGAAAACCAAAAACTAATTTGTGGGATGTGTGTCATTTAAAAAATCTGATTTGCAGGAAAACTAGTTGCTTGGCCTAGTTTTAAAGCTAATTACAAAATCCATTTTCTTAATGGTCCAGATCCAATTCTTCCAACTCAACAGAACTGTCAAAAAAGAAAAACATTTTTGTGAGACCTTTAAACCAATGTTCCCACTTAACATAGCATGTACCTTATAATGTGTTTTTAAAAGCATGTTTGAGAAGATACTGTATTTTTTTCATACATAGTCATCAGTGATCTTAAATGTCTAACTCTTCAACTTAGTAGGAATAGGCATGGTAGCACACTCCTGTAATCCCAGCTGTTTGGCAGGTGGAGGCAGATCACAAATTCAAACTGTGCCTGAGCAATACAGCAAGACTCTTTCAAAATAAAATTTTAAAAGGGCTGGGGATATAGCTCAGTGGTAGAGCATTTGCCTAGCATACACTAGGCTCTGGATTCAGATTCAATCCCCAAGACTGAGACAGAGAGATGGGGGGGGGGGCGGGGGCAAGGGAAGGAGAGAGAAAACAGGCAGGCTCATGGTGGTATGCGCCTGTAATTCAAGCACTCTGGGAAACCGAGGCAGGAGGACTACAAGTTCTAGCCCAGATAGGGCAACTCAGTGAGACCCTGTCTCAAAATTTAAAAATAAAGGGCAGGGATTTAGCTCAGTGGTTCCAGTGCCTGCCTCGCAAGCACAAGGTCCCGAATTCGATCCCCAGTACCAAAAATTAAAAAAAATTTAAAAAATTAAAATAGGGTTGAGATAGCTCAGTGTGAATACTACGGGTTCAATCCCCAATACCACAAAAAATAAAAAAATAAAAAATTAGTAGCTATAACTAAAAAAAAGTATAAAAGCATTTTAGTATTTTTATTAAATACCTCTTTTCTTAATGATTTTAGCTCTTAAAATTAATGTTTTCTACATTAAAATGAATGTTGTTAAATTCATCAGATACTATGACAGAACTTATGCTACAAACTGCTTATATTGAAAACAAACTATGTAAACATACTCATAATAAAAAAAAATGATCCAGCATGCAAAACAAATGGAGTACTAGCTGGAAAGCCAGGTTTGCTCATTTGCTTTTTTAAAAAAGGTGACTGAACTGAATTTTTGTATATAATAAACAGGTATGGGAGTTAACCCTTAGAGAGTATCTAGGGTCAAAGTCCCTAACTACATTCGTGGAAGATTTGTCTGGCTTAAACTACTCCCACCCCTACCCGGTACTAAGGATAAAACACAGGGCTTCCACACTAAACTACACCCTCAGCACTTTTCATTTTTACTTTAAGACAAGGTCTTGCTAAGTTGCTAAACTGCCTAGACTGAGCTCGAACATACAGTCCTCCTGTTTCAGTCTCCCAGAGTGCTAGGACTCCAGGCATATGCTACTACACCCAGCTTCAACTCACTTCTAATTCTCAAAAAATGTTTTAAGCTACATGAATAATTCGAAACGAGCATTAAACTGAAAAATCTGTAAGTATAAAAGAAAAAAATCTTATACAAACTTCACAAAAACTGACAAATAATGAGCATTTTTTTGAACACTAGAAGGTACTCTACATTTTCTTTCTTACAACCTTCAATGTATTGTTTACACTTAATATATGAGAAAATTACAGCTCAGTGATGGTAAGTGGCTGGTAAGTGATGATAAGGGAATTCAAAATCAGTTTGTATGACTCCAAAGAGTTATTTCTAACATGGGAGCCTCCCAATCCCACACTCCTTATATCCTCAACCTATATATTAATAATAAAAATGTTCTTGGGATTGATATGTAATTCTTCTCCAAGGTTAAATTTTATTTGTAGCTCACAAATCACTAAAGAATGAATTATTTAAATAACAAATTTTCCAGAATCAAAATCAATTAAAACAATGAACATGTACAGCTTTCTTAGAAGTGTAAGAGTGAAAACAAGTCAAGCACTGTGACAAACACCTATAATCCCAGGACTCTGAGAGGCTGAGGCAAAACAATTGCAAGTCTGAGCCTGGCCTGGGCGACTTGGGAACTCAGTGAGCCTCTGTCTCAAAAATTTTCAAAGGGCTGAGGATGGCGCTTAGTGTGCTAAGGTCAGTCCCCGACACACTGGCAGGGTGGAAGCAATTTAATGGATTACAGTATATATAGGACTGTGTCATGCAAACTAAGCATTTAAGACTCTCTCCTGCCATTCCTGCACCAAAACATATATATTAGTTAATAAAATCAAGTTAACTATTTCTAGTAGAGTAAAAAAATACCATATTTTGTTACAAGTAGTTAACCAAGGACTTTCAGAGTACCGAGCAGTGTGAGCATATGGATATACCTTAAACCTCTAGGTGGATGTATGAAAAGCCCAGAAGAAATCATTCTACTATAAACAAGTATGATACGGATCTAAGAAGGGGTCATACCTTCCATCGATTTCCACATTCATTACAGACAACAAATGTTGTCATTGGTTCATCAGCACTGCGAGTTTGTACCTGTAGCAAAATCAAGTAAAACGTATTACTTTTTGTAATATCATTAAAATATCCAGCATATTTTACACAGATATATAATGATCACAATAAACAAGTTCAAATAAGCTAGATAATATTAAAAAAGCATACATGTCCAAACTTCATTTTTCTAAATCCTTCTTTGTCTTTCATATTTAATTTATGCCAGATTAAGTGAAAAACTAATATTCTAAAGCCACCCATTAAATTGTACTTTTAGAAATGGCTAACAAATATGAAAAATATTCATCAGTAAGAAACACAGATGTTCAAGTTTAAACATGTTAATATTCCCTTAAAAATTAGCAAAGATGTAAAGAAAGAACATTTTATTTTGACATATGTAACTGCCATATAGTCCTTCTAAAATTAAATAAGGTAAGGGCTTTAAATACCCATTTTTCTGTAACTTATCCGACATTCTCTAAGATGGTAATTAGAAACATGAATAAATACATACAAAGATATTTGAAGAATATAATTTTATAATTGCATAAATACTGCAAAAATCTTAAACATGCAATAAGGAAATAATACACTAAATTGAATACATCCATTTGATTGAATATTATGTAGCTATTCATATACTTACAAAAGGATTTTTTTCTACAAATAAGAGGATAACGTTTACACTTTGCTAAGTGAAAATAAGTACATAGTATAGTTTTGGATTTAGTTACTATATTTAGAAAAAAATTTACAAAGTATCAGAAACACCAAGACACTGATAATTGTTCTCTATAGATGGTATACAACTGGATGATTTTAAATTTGTTCACAGGCTAGGAGGTGTGGCTCAGAAGTAGAGTACACAGTTAGCATGCATGAGTCTCTAGGTTCAATGCCCAGCACCCACTTCCCCCCCAAAATCCTTGTTTGTATTATTATGTGTTTTCTATAAGCAGGTGAGATAGCCAACCTGACTCGATCTGTGTGAAGTCCAGTGATTCTGGGTGGTCATCTCCCCCTTTCCCCCTTGGGAATCCTCTCAGTTAATGCATGACAGACCCCTGGATCCTGCAGTCTGCAACTATATGTTATCTTTACAACCTTGTAAACTGAATACTCTGCACTTGCGTGATATTTTGTTTCAACTAAACTGTCTGAAACTTCCCCTGATCCCCACTAACTTAGCAAAGTTCTGCTTCTGTAAAATTCCACTTCTGCTCCCCCTCTCCCTGAGCCCTCCCCAACTAGAAGAGCTGCTTAAAAGGACCCTGAAAGCTGCTTTTCCTTGTGGAGAGCTTTCGGGAGCAAGCCACTCTCGAATGCTGGCTGACAATAAAGGACTCAAATTTGGCTCAGACTGGTGGCGATTCTCTATAATCTCTCGCAATTAAGTATAACACAGGTATTAGGTTGCTTAAGTAGTTGTTATGATCATCGCGATCCAGAAATTCTTCTGCTAGATGCACAACCAAAAGAAATGAAGCAGAGTCTCAAAGAGGCACTTGTAAGTGCAAATACATTTACATACAAATCACAGCATCATAGCCAAAAGGTAGAAGCAACCCAAGTATCCAATGGATGAACAGATACACAAAATGTGGTATACACATACAATGGCATTCCATTAAGTCTTAAAAAGGAAGAAAATGCTGACACATGCTACACAATGGGTCAACTTGAGGACATTATGTTGAGTGAAACAAGCCAGTCACAAAAAAGCGAGCACTTTACGATTCCACTTTTATGAAGCATGCAAAATAGTCAAATCAAGAGACAGAAAGTTGATGGTTGGCAGGGGCTGAAGAGAGAGGGAGAGGGAAATGGGGAATTACTGGATTTTTGTTTTGGGTTTGTTTTGTTTTATGGTATTGGGGGTTGAACCTAGGGCATGCTGAACTCCAGCTTTATTGTTTTTAGACAGGGGGTCTTACTGAGTCACCCATGCTGGCCTCTAATTTGCAATTCTCCTGCCTCAGCCTCCTGACTAGCTGGGATTATAGGTGTGTGCCACCATGAATTATTGTTTAATGAGTTCAGAGCTTTAGTTCTGCAAAGGGAAAAACATTATGGAGATTGGATGAACAACACTAAATGTTTTTCTACTGAACTTTAAACTGATTGACAAGGCAAATTATCATAACTGAAATTTTTCTTTAAAAAATTAAAGAGAAGCTGATGGTACAGGCCTGTAATCCCAGTTTTTGGGAGGCTGAGACAGAAGAATCATTGCGAGTTCAAGGCCAGCCTGGGCTGCACAGTGAGTTCAAAATGAACTATATAACAAGACCATGTCAATCAATCAATCAATCAATAGACCAGGCATGATCCCAGCTACTCATGAGTCTAAAACAGATGATTGCTTTAGCTCCGAAGTTAAAAGCCAGCATGGACAACATAGCAAAATCCCATCTCAAATAAATACATTATATATATATACACACATATATAACTCAGCAAGAATAAAAAACTAATATAATTTTTAAAGATTTATACAAGATTACAGATTTCTCAACTTCACTGGAAAGAATTACTGAAATCAAATGTTTGAACGACAGAAAGGTTTTCTCTAAACCTACATTCCTGAATGAAGATATTTTTTAATTTAATGAAGTTGGGGGCTGGGGATTTAGCTCAGTGGTTTCGCTGTCTGCTGTGCAAGCGCAAGGACCCGAGTTCGATCCCTGGTACCAAAAAAAAAAATTTAATGAAGTTATAGCATGAGCCAAAATACTAACAATGCTATACTTTGAATATATTTCAATTTAATAGGAGATAGTAAAATCCTAGTTTATCACTTCAAAGATCAGAAACTTCATAACTTGTAAATTATCAACATGACTTTTCATTCAGTCAAAGCCCAAAGGAAGGCAAGGAAGCACCATTTTGAAAATAGCACCTTCCGCTTATTTAAGAGGCCTTCAGATAAGATAGTCCTTTTACTAGTCTTTATATAAACTGACTACTGCTATCTGAGGCCCTGGAAGTAGACATAAGGAAACTTTCATTCATGGAGAAAATTTGTAATCTCTTGGTGTTTACATGGTAACCAAGAGTCACACTTAATTCTTCCTGTCAGTTATTTTCCTGAGAACTTTGGGAAGTTTTTTTTTAAATCTAAAGACACATTCACTTCTAGACTAGGATCCAGGTTCTTTCTCTTAAAATAAACAAATGTGATATTTGCATTTTTTTCTTACCTGTCTATAATCTGATTATATAACTATATTACTACTATTTTGCTGAGATTTTTCTACCTAACAGAAAATAGTGCAAGGCCGGGGATTTAGTTCAGTGGTCCCACCACCTTCCTCGAAAGCACAAGGTCCTGAGTTCAATCCCCAGCACCAAAACCAAACAAACAAAAAAGAAAATAGTGCAACTCAAACTCAAATTTTTCTGAAACCACTTTCACCGTATGTTGATACATTTCAATAACTATCAGTATTAAAACTTCTACAAAATGAAACACTAAAACTTGCAACTATGACTAAATAAAGACTTCAAAAGGGTAAGGAGCTTTAAACAAGGTTAAATCAAGTATATCTGAAGACAGAGTACTATATGTCTGTAAAAAGTAAGAGGAAGAAGCTCATGTAACATTCTATCATATACTACTAAATCTGAGAAATGAAACATATCATGGTCTTTAAGGGGGAAATTTTTGAGTTCAGCATATTATATAGTACAAAAATCTTTTTGGCAAATGAAATTTAAGACTGCGATAAAATCATTTTTACACAGACACATGCACCCAAAAAACATAATTCTTTTCAACTGTTCAAGGACAAAAAAGTCAATCACATCATATTATGAATGTAAAAGGAATCAACATGTAACATAAAAGAATAGATATCTGGAGGCCAGTTGAGCCTGAAGTACCTGCATGCTGTGTGAGAGAGGGAAGAACTTTCTTTATATTATATAGGCCTACAAACTAAAAGGAATTATGGCCTTAAAGTTTACATACTAACCAGTAACCAACTGTTTATGAGCTGTTAGTAAACAACATGGTTATTTTTATTACCTCCTACATTTTATCAATTTTAATTGCTATAGCTTTTACAGAAACTTTTCATGAAAGCATAAATATATCAACTTATTTTCATTAACTGAAAATAAGAAAGTATTAAGTAAAGTATTAAGAAAGTACTCTTGGACCAGGGATTTAGCTCAGTGGCACCATGCCTGCCTCGCAAGTGAAAGGTCATGAGTTCGATCCCTGGTACCAAAAAAGAATAAAAGAAAGTATTCTTAACATATCTCTTGAAAAATATCACACAAAGTACTAGTAATTATCATTGTTACTTGTTCAAACAACAGGAGTTGCAAACATTCTTAATATGAAAATAAGAATCTGTAAGTAATCACAAACCTGTGTGTAAGTACAATTCTTCTTTTTACATTTGCCACATGTGAATAAATCAGTCTGGGTTCCTCCTGTCTTGGCCATCTGATGTTCTCTGATGGCTTCTCTGGTCAAGTTTTTCCGCATCTCTTTGAGCTCATCACTAGCCATTTCCTATGAGAGATGTGACAATACCACAAAAGGAAGAAAAAAAAAAAATATATATATATATATATATATTTCCATCCTTTATCTTAAATGCTTTTATGCTCAATTAGGTTAATATTAATAAAATTAAATCATCTTCAAAAGTTTAAAAAACTTTAAATTATTTTTCCTTAGAGTTACTTGTAAGAATATGCTTTCTTTAAAAATTTCTTCAAGGGCCAAGGATTTAGCTCATTGGCACTGCACCTGCCTCACCAAGCACAAGGTCCTGAGTTTGATCCCCACTACCAAAAAAAAAAAAGAAAAATTTCTTCAAATATTCACTAAGTTTGTGTTCACCAGTTGATGAACTCATTAGATAAAAGGCAAATGGAGAATTTACAATGGAGGAATCATCACCCACGTCCACTGACAAATGCTAGTATGCTAACAGGAAAGCAACAAGACATTAGGTGCCTCTTGATGTGAGACAACTGACGTAAAAAGCATCATTTATGAAATATTTAAGCCGGAAAAAAACTTGAACTTGAATGTAATCAAGCCTGCAGAACTACCTTCCAGTGTAGAGAAAACAGGATAGAAAAATTAAGTAACACCATGAAGAAGAAACACAAATTCATACTGTGAGATGAAGAATTACACAATGTGGGATTCAAAAGTCATCTCTTCAACAAGGCACCATAATAAAGGGGGGAAAAGCAGAAAAGAGGGATGCAAGGTGCCAGGAAAAGAGACTTGTCAATTAAACAATAAAAAAACATTCATAGACTAAACTAAAGGTAAAGTGTAGACTAGATACTGATATAAAGTAAATGTATAAACAGGAAAACATGAATATGAACTAGACATTACATTATACCATGAAATTATTGTTAGCTTTGTTGAATGTGGGATGACAATATAGTGTCATAAGAAAAAATATATTTTTAAGATGTATCCCAAATATATAAAAGTAAAGAGATATGTTTGTGATTCACTTATGAATAAATTCAAGAAAAAAATGGTAATACAAAAAAAGAGTTAGGGGCTGGGCATGGTGGAACATGCCTATAATCCCAGCATTTCATTCGGGAGGCTGAGGCAGGAGGATCACTGAGAGTTCAAGGCCAGCCTAGCTACATAGTGAGACCCTGCCTCAAAAAAGAAAAA